TTTATTATACCCTCGACGAGCTTATTTTAACGATGAATTACATTCAATGTCTACTAATTAGTTCAGGCTTTATCTCATAAACAGATATATAAAGATATTTGTATGGGATAAACAAAACTCCATACCATACCATACCATTTTTAAAACATTTTAATATGGATCAGAAAAAATTATTTCCTAAATATTTAGTCCCTAGTGACAACCCTTATAATTTTAAATAGAACCCTGAATATTATTAGAGTGCAGCGTTAGTATTACATTTTACATAAAGAAATGCAACAGGTCTCAAAAGAAGGGATTTCAGAACCAGATAACTAAAAAAATTAAATAAAAATAATTCTGTCAAAATTTTCCACCTCCGCAATATGTTTTTAAAAATTGTATTTAGAAAAAAAAACTTACAATATTATAATATATTAAAAGTTTTTACAGCTAGTTAGTAGGAAAAAACATTTTTTTTTTATTAAATTTTGATCACTTTTTGACACACCATAAACAACATGGCAAATGAATGAAGTCAATTAAAATTGTTTGACGATGTGAAAACCATCAAATATGTATAACTACCTATTTTAAAAAAGTATAGAATTGGTCAGCACCTTGTTCATGGACCACCCTGTATATTTAAGAATAGTTGTTAAATATTTCTAATAATAAAACAGCTATCGATCAATTACGCACGGATGTGTTATTGGCTAACATATTGGTATCGTTGTATAGGCAAATTTATAAGGAATTTTATGTTAAGATAATATACAAGGTGTTGCATTTGAAAAAATTCAGGAAATTGAACTTAAAGTAAGCCATATTTAAGATGTTTCAAAACACTCGGTACAAAAATAAACTAGTTCTATCACCACTATTAGTTAGCTTAGTATCTTATGAGTCTGTATATTAAACAATTTTGAAATCAATGTAAACCTACTTACCTAAATTACTTATGATAATTTAATTTGGAGTCTGCATCATTCTCTAATTAAAAAAAAAATCAATTACTTGGCAACACTGTAATTTTTTTTAGGGTCGAATACAGTATTACCAAAGCATACTAGAAACAAAATAAAACAGGGTGTTCTATGTAAAAAACATATTTTTATTTTCCAGGTAAAAACCGAGGCAAAAACGCAAAAATATCTTTAAAATATATATTTTTCAAATCCATACAACATTTATTTTTATATTTTGAAAAGTATTGGATTTAAAAAATTGATATTTTAACTTTTAAGGATATTGCGGGAGTGGAAACTTTTAAAGTAAAAAGAAAGTACTCATATTCAAAATATATTACTAAACAATAGTAAAAAGAGTGTTATGCTTCCGTCCGATGTCTTTTGACCGGTAGACCGACGGTCCAGTCGGACACTGGCTTATAATATGTCGGCTGTTTCTTTTGTGCATGGATATTTTTAGTTTTGTAGCGGTCATCATAACAATCACCTGACCTCATCACATGCAACTTTTTTGCTTGTGAAATTCAAGCCACTGATAAAAAAACACCTTTCTGTAAAAACAGAAAGATCGTAACTAAATCCAAGAAGATAATTTAAAAGATGAGTTTTTGAGATATCACAGATATAGACCCTGCTGAAACAAAGACAGTTCTAGTAAGGTAATACGTATCAAAGAAGAAACTGAAATGGACAGACCTGCTTCTTGAAGACAGCAACAATCATAAGATGTGTTTTATTTAAAGACGTGCTTTTTTTGTTAAATGATGACGACTTTTCGAAATGTTTCATTGAAAGAATAAGTCAAAATATTGTGGGAAATCCACGATGTTGTATCTGTATTATCTTGTTAACAATTCAAATATGTTCAAATATTTACTTTAGCGTATATAAACAAACCACATTCTTGAATTACAGCGAGACGCTTTCGAGAGAGAGTTATTTTTATAAAAACAACTAAATGCACATTAAAACTGAAGATTTTTCTTTAGTATACATTTGCACATGAAAGATAATTTAATATTACGAGCGTCTATAACTACTAATTATAAATTAATGATTATATTTAAAATAACCCAAAACTATGAATAGTTAATGAAACCATCTGTTATTAAGATATTTTAATTTTAAAGTTCACTTTCGAATAGATAACTTATTTATTATGACAGCTATTAATTATAAATAACATTTCGCAATTTTTTTATTGACATACCTATTAGTTACTAAAATAGAATAGTGCGTTATGACAAATATTACAGATATCGTGTCAACTATCTTATCTAACAACTGGATTGATAAATAATTGAATGAAATAAAAACGGGTTTTTATTGATGATATCATCATGTATGTATGTCTTCCAGTTACAAGGACCGTAATGTTGAAATTTTTATATGAAGATTATAATACTGTAGGTATTATGAAAGAAACATAGAAAAAATTTTATTATTGTTATGTTCTTTCTCATTTTTTATAATATTAATTATTTCCTTGAATGACTAACATAACCACATAACTATTGAACTAGCACATTCCTTAAAAATTGAGACAACATTCAGAAAGAAGAAAATATTTGTAAGATTTTAATTAGAGCATTTAGAGACCATGATACAAATGGTTCAAGAATATAAGAAAAAAAGGAGGAAAAATTAAGTGGATGAAAGAAGTAATCTATTTAAACTTTGAAATAATTTATGTTAAGTAACAGTTATTATTATTTTGTAAATTCAGTCTCTTATTAGAGCGTATTTTTTGTGTGTTTTCGTTTATAATGATCATCAAATATTCAATATACAATTTTCTAATTACAAAATGTTCGTTGATTAATATGTACGAGATGTGATCAAAAAATACAGTGAAAGAATTTTTAGCAGCAAGTACTGACGCTACAACCATTTGATGTAATTTGTCCTTTAGCTTGATAGGCTTAAACAAGTAACGTCAAATTGGAACAAGTTATAACTTGTTAGTCAGCGTCCAGAACCGCTAGAGCGAGGTTAGCATTAACCTCAAAAACAGAAGAAAACGTGCAAAATGTGGCAAAAATTCTTCGTTCAAACATGCGACTAACTATTCGAGAGCTTACCGAAAAACTTAACAACACGTACGGGTTCGTGCAAAGCTTTTTTACCGATCATTTGCAAATGAGACGAGTGATTACAAAACTTGTTCCCAGAGTAAAGTTTTGAGTGATGAACAGAATGAAAATTGTGTATCAGTTTGCACAAAGTTAAAGAATCGTTTTCGTTCAGATCCGGACTTAATGTTCAAAATTGTAACTGGAGACGGCTATTATCTGCAGATTTCTACAGCCTAGGGTATGGCGATAAACTGGCGATCGTCGTAAGACGCAAGTTCGCAGGTACAATATCGGAGCGCACACAAACCGCTCTAAACATTGTTGACGAGTGGTGCAGAGAGGAGAAACTAACAGTAAACCCTCACAAAACCACAATAGTCAACTTTACAAAACGAAAAGTACCAACAGGACCAAAGTCACCAGTACTGAAAGGAATGAAGATTCCATTTGCTCAAGAGGCCAAATACTTGGGAGTCATCTTTGAACACAGGTTAAAATGGAATCAACACTTGCAAAAAGCCACCCAAAAGAGCACAACATCCTTCACCTTATGGCGAAGGTTGTGTGAAAAAAATTGGGGACTACAACCGAAAATGTCCCTATGGTTACATACCAGAGTCATAAGGATGATGATAACCTACGGGTGGTGGTATGGTGGCCAAAGACTCGACAAGCTGAAGCCATTCGACATTTCAATGGTATTCAAAGGCAAGCATGCCTAAGTACCACTGGAGCTATGAGAATGACTCCAACAGCAGCTATAGAAGTCATGCTAAACCTAACACCACTACATATATTTATTTAAGGCGAAGCCAGGTCTGTTACATACAGACTGCACAAAGGTTCATCAACCATAAGCAGTTTGCAAGGACGCGACTATACAAAGAGTTGGAGAACGACCAAATAATGGGAAGACCTTCAGACGAAATGCTCCCAAAGCATAGCTTTCAAAAGCAATATACAGATAGAGAAGCGTGGGCGGGAGGACATCCTATTCATGCAGAATTGACCTGGTATACAGACGACTCCAAAACTCATGAAGGTTCAGGAGTAGATATATATAGTACCAAGACAAGCCAAAGACAAGAATCTCACTGTACTTAAGAAAACATTCGACAGTATTCCAGACAGAAATAGCAGCAATACGTCACTGCGTAAAAGAGATATTAAGACAAGGTAAATGCAAAAACCATTGTCATATACTCAGACAGTCAAGCGACGTTAAAAGCACTCAGTTCCATGCAGGTACACTCAAAGCTTGTGTGGGACTGTTTGGAAGCCCTAACAGAGCTGGGTAGTCAAAACAGACTAACCTTAGCCTGGGTACCAGGCCACAAAAGACATAAGGGAAATGAAGAGGCTGATTTACTAGCTTGAGAAGAAGCCTCAAATGCTCTTATTGGCTCAGAACTCTTCTGTGGTGTAACAAAAACAACTATCAGAACATGCACAAAGCAGTGGATGTTTAAAAAATCTCAGAAGTGGTGAAAAAACTCACCAGGACAGAGACAGGCCAAAGCGTTCTTAAAAGGACCATCGCCTAAACTCACCGAGCATCTACCAAGCCTTAATAGGAAAAAACTAGAGTAACAGTAGGTCTACTAACAGGGCATTGTAGGCTTAACAAACGGGAATTTCCCCAAGAATTCCTGATATATTTTTTGTAAATTTCAGCTTATTTTCCATTTCATCTATTCATTACGCAAGACGCAATCAAGATAAAAATTAAATTAAAATATCAATTTTTTAATGAAAACAACACATTTTCTTTGGCAACAAATTAAAAAATATATCTTCTTACTGTAACACAAATAAAAAATTAAATCTAAATATTCTTTTTTGTTAAAAAAAAAAAAGTTTTCTTTGGTAACAAATTTAAAAAATATATCCTTCGACTAAAAAAGAACACAAAATAAAATATCTACCTAGTAGAATATAAAACTGTTGAGTATTATAAAAGTATCTAAAAACAAAACTAAACCTCAGTTTCTGAGCTATTAACCTCATCGGTCACGTCTTCCTCATCAGAATCAGAGTCTTGATAAGGAATTTCTTCGTCCTCCGAAGAAGTTTCTGTCTCCGTTTCTGGCTCAAAATTTATTGGTGATTTTGAAAGGTCTGAAGGTCCAGGTATCTCTGCTTCCGGCACTATCATGTTAGAATGCTGAACACTTTCAGTTACTTGAGTCAAACTGGAAATAGCTGTCTTTGCTTTGTTACGAGTTCGCCAGTAATGGGTGATGTACGTTAATTTTATTGCACGCCGAGTTGTTAGCTTGTTTTTTTTCTTTGTGTGAACTGCAGAAAATGTGGGAAAAGTTCGCTCAGTTGAAGCTGAAGTAGCAGAAATAGAAAGAATTTTTACTGCCACTTTTGATAGCCGATTGTTCTGTCCAATGATTCCCTTCCACCAAACGACAGGTGTTATATTCTGTGAAGCAGTCCAAATGAAATCTTTCGCCCACATACGCTCTATAATTGGCAGTTTCAAAAAGCAACTGTTCATGATCAATTATTGATAGACTATACAACACAAAACAACTACAACCAAACGATTATTTTAGTAAAATTACTTACCTTTTCAGAAGCACTCATATGATCAAAAAATGTTGAAATGTCTCTTGACCTTGACTGGCTTGACTTAGATGCTGTGCATCTAATATTACGTAATTGTATGAATTCTGCTATTTCTGGAAATGTTCCCGGTTTTTTCCAGGGAATTACGGTTTTCCCGTTCCCAGTGGAAATTCCCCGGGGAAATTTCCCGGCTACCCATCACTAGTCCACATCCGCCTTACTTACCAGATTTAGCACAATGCGATTTATGTCACTTCCCAAAAATTAAAACCATACTTAAAGGAAAACGTTTTGACACCATTCCTGACATTGAGAGGAACACGACGGAGTAGCTGAATGCCTTTCCAAAAGAAATCTTCCACTAGTGGGTCATGGGATAAGGGCATTGAATGAGATTAAATTGAATTACACGTAAACTCATTACTCTATTTCGAATAAAATTATTCACAGTATTTTTGATCACATCTCGTATAATTAAGCACAAAATTTAGTTGCTTTTAGTTTAAAACTGAATTCGATTTGACATGCTATCAATATATGATTATTTCTTATGAATCATTAAGCATTTCCGAATCCTCTTCTACTAAATTATTCCTTCCTGCGTCAATCCATTATGCAAAGGAATAGGTAGCAGAGGGTTTGACAAAATCTCTTGTTAGGGTGCAGCGTTACTCACTATAATAGCGTCGGTAATTAAACCTGGCAATTACCAATTGGAGAGCAAAAAGAGAAAAACCAAAATCTCAATATAATTTGTATTCTATTTCCATATTTTTATATTCCATACTGTAGCTAATTGACAAAGTATAAACATTGATTGTTGTAGAATGTGCAATACCTCATTCATATTTTTTGTTTCTGAATAGTTCATTATTTTAATAAATTGAGAATCGTCTACTATAGAGGATATATTATCAGGAAGTTTTTAGTAGGGATAATTCAAGAATAAATTAAGAATATTGGAAAAGCTTCATAAGCATCAGAATATTGAAGTAAAGATTGTTCAGAATATATCCTAACCTACCAACTTATCGATATTTGCGATCCGATCATAAATACATCGTTATATTTATATTAGGTTTGTAAATATATGGTGTATTTGAAACCGATTTGAAAAATATTTTCTTAGTTAAATTTTCCACATTGATGTAAAAACATTTTAAAAAAAAAATTTAATTGGAATAAACTCGGGAACAAACGAATCGAGACAGTAAAAATAGATGTAAAAGCTCAGCTTTTAGGGTATTAATTTGAAGGTTCCTTTAAAGGTATAAATAAATAAAGCTTTTTATCTTGCTTTTTATTTTATAAAACAAATTTTAATAAGTACTTATTGAAGTATGAATATAACGAAGAAGAAAAAATAATAATTAAAAATATACTTATTTATTTGTAAACGTTATTGATCTGAAAAAGAGGAAGACATTATGCTCAGGGCATAAAAATAACAGGGCACTTAATTAAGAACATTTTAAATAAATCAAAAAGAAATTACTTAAAAGAATTAATTACATAAATATTATTAAAAAAGATAGAAAAGGAACTAAAGTTTTTTAATAATGTTCTTTTAGTCAAGACTTTAGTAGTTCTTAAAAATAATTTAAATTTAAAAATTTACATCATATCCCATTTAATTAATAACTTGTAACAATTATATACTTTATAAAAAGATACTATTGGCTGAGATACACAAATGCCGGCTTTGTAAATAATTTCTTGATAATAGAATAATAATTAAGGCTAGTTTATTCAAATTAAGGAGGCAATTCATTATTTAAATTTTCGTATATAGAGTAGTCAAACTTCTGGACAATCAAGATAGTAGGTACAACTGTTGAACTAATGATAAATTATGAAAAGCGTTGAGTAAATATTTAAAAAATAAGGTAATATAAGTATACTACTAGCCGGTTGCAAGAATGCTCGTTAGCTAATGAACCCCTAACTTTATTGACTCCCTAAATTATCTTCTAAATGTAAAGTCGGCAACGGCGCTTTTCAAATGACAGTATAACAATATTCGAGCTACATCCCTATCAAAATGTATCTCTGTCTTTGTCGACATTTAATAGAACACACTGCAGGTGAACCCGAACGATATGTTTTCGCCAAGAGCCGAGACCAGACGAACTTTCAACATAAGAATTGTTTATAAAATATACTTATGTTTGAAAATACGCAAAGAAAATGAATTTTAAGAAGATGTAACACTGTGGATTTTAAGAGGGAAAACAAAGGATTATTCACAAATAGTAAGTACTTTAATTATAAGAAATATTTCTTTACTTACAAATAATATGGACTTGTAGCAAAACATAATATGCAGTGATATTTATTAATAATAGTAATATTAATAATAAAAATGAAAACTAATTTTGGAAAACGAAAAGGAACAAAATGACAGAAAATAATATAATATTATATTTAAAATTACCCAGTACTAAATTAATAACAAAAAAGTACATTAAAAATCAAATAAAAATTAAAAAGTGAATGTGTTTTATTTTTTTATTATTAATAAGAACAAGATAAATTTGTAAAAGGTAAAATTATTAAACAGCATTTATTTTTATTAATTATTTAGGTATTAAAAAATAGCAATTTTTTAGTAGTTTCATAATATTTCAAAAACCTAAAAATAGAATAAAAATGTGACATAGGTATGTCTTTCAAAAAAAGAAATTAATAATCCGAGACTCTGCTGATTCTGTTCCAACAATTTTTTTTAGCAAAGTTTTAAATATTTCAAGACCCTAAAAATAGCCTAAAATGGGGTTGTTTTTATAAAAAAGCTTTAAAAAACCGAGGTGCTCTGCTAGCAGGGCACCTTGGTTTTTGCAGAAAACGAGTAGTATAGCATTTTTGAATAAGGTATAAAATAGCCTTTAAATAGCCTAAAATTATGGAATAGGTTTCAACTCAAAACTCCATAGGATCTGTGCTGCCTTCTTTGGTATCCAAGTTTTTGTACATTAACAAAAATAATGAGTGTCTACCCTTTATAATATAAGAAATAAACTGAAACAAATTTGTATGAAACAGAACAATTTTTGTATTACGAGCCCTAACCACTATATGTTCGGCCTTTTTATAATTTTATTTCCGTTATATATTAGGAAACTTAAGGTTGAAGAAGAACCTCGAGAAGAACATCTATTTTTTAAAAATTACTTAAAAATAAATGACCATTTAAATGTTCGAACAATATCCTTCGCAATTATTAAATTTAATGTATGGGAGACTTTGGAGTTTGGAATTTTTTACGTGTTTGACGCACATAATGAAACACTAACTTATTTTGTGGTTTGACGTTTTAAGTTGTTGAAAGTGTTACGGTATCTTTGTGACTGTTTCTAACGTTTTGGAGTGAGGGTAGCCATATGTGAGTAGCAGGGATTAAGTGTAAGGGGTTAAGAAAAGGTCCTTTATTTCTCACAAGTCAATTTAATTGGCGACCGGTTTCGAAGTTGTCACTTCATCATCAGGCACACCTAAATGGAATGTCAAGGAGTCAGTTGTAATAAAAAACAATTATAAAAGCATGAACGGACTTTACAAAATAACAGAAAAAACACAAAAGAAAGTTAAACAATAACCTTGACTCGCCTTGACTATTTCCATAAAGGAAGCGCTACATAAAGTTTAACAAAACGAGTTAAAAAAGTCATATGTAATACAATAGTATTTTTTTAAAAAATATTTTAGGTTAGGTTAAACCGCGAGATGTCTGTTTGAATAAATTAATTAAAACACTAAAAAACTAAACAACACAAAATAGTTTTTACAAGCACAAACAGTTTAAAAATTTTTAAGGATATAACGTCAATTAATGAAAGTAAAAAGTAAAAAGTAAAAATTATCAGACTCTCAAGACATCTATCTAGATTTTTAACGAATCAATGTAGTAAACTGTAAATTTTAAATTTAGCGGATAAATAGTGTACTAACAAAGGTGTTATTTACTGAAAGTGAGTATAGGTGGCGGTGACAAAATTTATTGAAACTAAAAATATTAAACTTTGAAATGAGAAAGCAAAAAATACTAACAAGAAAATTAGAACACTGAACAAGAAAATATGAAAATTCAAATTTTCCTTTTACATATGAATTTTCATATGTTCTTGTTCAGTGTTCTAATTTTCTTGTTAGTATTTTTTGCTTTCTCATTTCCCAGTTTAATATTTTTACTTTCAATAAATTTTGTCACCGCCACCTATACTCACTTTCAGTAAATAGCACCTTTGTTAGTACACTATTTATCCGCTAAATTTAAAATTTACAGTTTACTACATTGATTCGTTAAAAATCTAGATAGATGTCTTGAGAGTCTGATAATTTTTACTTTTTACTTTTTTACTTTTTACTTTCATTAATTGACGTTATATCCTTAAAAATTTTTAAACTGTTTGTGCTTGTAAAAACTATTTTGTGTTGTTTAGTTAATAATTGTCTTACATGTGTTTTAATTAATTTATTCAAACAGACATCTCGCGGTTTAACCTAACCTAAAATATTTTTTAAAAAAATACTATTGTATTACATATGACTTTTTTAACTCGTTTTGTTAAACTTTATGTAGCGCTTCCTTTATGGAAATAGTCAAGGTGAGTCAAGGTTATTGTTTAACTTTCTTTTGTGTTTTTTCTGTTATTTTGTATATGTTAAAGTCCGTTCATGCTTTTATAATTGTTTTTTATTACAACTGACTCCTTGACATTCCAATTAGGTGTGCCTGATGATGAAGTGACAACTTCGAAACCGGTCGCCAATTAAATTGACTTGTGAGAAATAAAGGACCTTTTCTTTAACCCCTTACACTTAGTTTCTAACGTATTTTTTTTTATTCGTTATTGAAAATGGGTCGTAATAAAGCAACTCCAAAAAAAATTATGGATTTGATCATTAACAAATACAAACATAAGTTCCTAA